AGAGAGAGAGAGAGAGAGAGAGAGAGAGAGAGATAGAGAGAGAAAATGAAAGAGAGAGAGAGAGAGAGAGACTTCATTTGTGGAGATGGTGGGAACCCTACCCTACCAAAAGACCGTCTGGTAAGGAGACCTAGATAATAAAATGTTTCTATTGAGGTAGCGGAGTGAGGAGATAATTGAGCTCTGGGGTTTTCTACTTCACCTCTGTCCCTACGTCATATTTCCGACCATGGATGAATCGAAAAGTTCTCCAGAACCACACCAGCAATGTCACGAGAGAGCCGACGTAGTAGAATGAACAGACGAAAACGACCTATAAAACGGAGGATCGAATAGAAGTAGAAAGGCAAATAAACCTAATAAAATAGAAACGAAACAAAACAAAAACGAAAACGAAAACGAAAACGAAAACGGAACAAAACGATCAGAATCTGTTCATAACGTTTGCGTACCAGCTCACACTCTTGTTATCAGTGAGGTAGGTCAATAGAAATCCCAATCGGTCCAGCCATTTTTGCCTCAGACAATTTCTTAGCAACGAGAGAACATTCTAAACCCCTTTTATTTTCGTCTCCCTCTTTATACTTCTACTCGACAATTCCTTATTGCCTTTTCGAACTTCGCTTTTTTTGGAACAGTCAGAAGGGGAGGTTATTTTCGTTGCTACCAGAGCTCTCGGACTTTCTGTCGTTGTAAATGTTGACTTCGTCTCTTATTCTCCCCCTTGCTTATCACTGCTTTTAACGCTGGGCTCTACTAAATCGTAGTTGTTATGGCTGCTGCAAAGGTTGAAATAAAACGTTGAGGAAAGGAAATATCGTTTGCGTTCATGGAAGGCCTTGCAGAGAACATGACGTTATGAAGAAGCCATTACTTCAAAGCTGATTGGTCACTGCTCGATAGGTCCGCTTTACGATACGTGGGACATCGTGGTGAAATCAGGCGATGGTCAAATTAATGAAATCGAAGAAATCGGCATTTTCCGCACGTTTTGTCAGTTTTGATTGAATTTTTTCTTCTCTGTTTTTTTTCTTTTTTGGGCTTAACAACTTTTATGTCCTCTGTGGATTTTATTGAAAAATGTTTATCAAGGGCATCAGCAAGTAAATTTACCGTTTCCAAGAATTCTCAAGCTTTGGAAGTCACCAAACTTTGGCGGCCATTTTCTAGCTAATTTTTTGGTCTGACACCAAGCGACACCCACCTTCTGTGATCGTATTACACATCGACTTCTGTTCAAGATAGATGGTATTGTTTCAATCGAAAGCTAGACAAATAAACATGCTTTTCGATTAGACCAATAACTCCGCATGTAAAAAAATTGACGACCGTCTGATTCCACCACGTCGCGACACATAATATAATATTATGGACGTACGGACAGAACATAAACTAGGCGCATAAACCGAAGTAATGAGAGGAAGCAACTTCTTAGATGAGTGGGACGAAGAAACAATCCATAGCGCTAGGCCCTATGTGAACTGTTTACAAAGCAAAAACGACACAGCGAATAGGGGAAATCTGATATGTCGTCTTTGCTTTGTTTCGGTACTTTTCAAACGAAGGAGGGAAATGCATATTTTAAAAAAAATTTACCCTTTCAGAATCGTGGTGAACCTATGCATACGTTGACATCAATGATGTAAAAAATCAGAAAACGTCTTTGTCCATTTTACCATTCCTTTACTTCGATTCTTTTTTGAAAGGAGGTGGACAATGCTACCTTTTATTTACCCTTGCAGAATTGAGCGTAACAATAACGTGTGCGTACACATTGCAAGCAGACTGCAAATAGCTAAAATACAGCGCATACGACCGCCATTAGAAGTAGTAGAGAGCAGCGTCTCAATTAAACTGTTTACAATGTGAGTTGATATAATGTCTTTTACAAGTTTAAGAATGATTCAAAATATTTCAAAAGGCCTTCACATGGACAATGATAGACGGCCTTCGGGAGCCTTGTTTCTCTCACTTTGTGATCAATTCACAGGGTTTTTCCAATCCTGTCTTGTGGATTGTTACAGCAAAGTGTTGGCAGGTTTACTTTCTTTCTTATTGCCCCCCCCC